ATTTCAATCCTTGTCGGCGTAGAGTGTTATCAATTGTTTTCTTGGTGACTGTGGTCTCAGCTGCCTGGAGATAATTGACAAGCTCCTCACGTATAGTTCTGGGATGATTCCTCATTGTTCTCATGATCATTGACACTCCACAAGGTGAGATCTTGCATGGTGCTCCAGATCTAGGGAGACTGACAGTTGTTTTGTGTTTCTTCCATGATTGCACCAACTGTTGTCACCTTCTCACCAAGCTGCTTGGCAATAGTTTGGTAGCCCAGTCCAGCCTTGTGTAGGTCTACAATCTTGTCCCTGACATCCCTGGACAACTCTTTGGTCTTTGCCATGGTGGAGAGTTTGGAATATGATTGTTTGATTGCTCCTGTGGACAGGTGTCTTTTATACAGGTAACAAAATGAGATTAGCAGCACTCCCTTTAAGAGACTGATTCTAATATCAGCTTGTTACCTGTATGAAAGACACCTGGTAGCCAGAAATCCTGCTGAATGATAGGGGATCAAATACTTACAGTATTTCCCTCATGAACATGCAAATCGTGCATAATTTGTTAGACATGCATTTATTTTGAAATTATTTTTTTGCTATTCTATCTCTCAGTGTTACAATACACCTACCATTCGATTTTTAGACTGATCATTTCTCTGTGAGTGGGCAAACATTCAAAATCAGCAGGGGATCAAATACTTATTTCCTTCACAAAACTCATTTGTGGTGTCAATCCCCATGGGTTTCCCAAACACAGCGGGACCACACTGGGGCACTGTGAAGCCTCCCTTATGGTTAAATCTAAACTGATGAGCTGTAAGGTCTTTTGAAAAGTTGTTTCTTGATTATTTTGGGTACTGTAAATTTTCAGCATTCCATGGTCACTTGGCACCACCTCATCCTTTTCTGTGTACAAAACAATTGTGGATTAAATGACCTCCAGAAAGTTTTACCCCCTTCACAACCAGGGCATGTTTTGTTATTTAACACTGCATTATTTAAACTGTCAATTGCATGGTCATGCAACACTGTACTCACATGAAATGTATATAATTTAATTCACGCAAATAAGGTTTACTTTTGCTGGTATTTGATCACCACTGGGTTTTTTATTTTTTGCTATATAAACAAAAACAGCCTGAAAATTTAGAAAAAAAAAGTTCTATTTTTTGTTAAATATCCAATAAAAAAATAAAAGTTCTTCATAAAATTTAGGTGGTATCTCCTCCAGCGGCCCCCTCCCTCATCTCCTCTAGTGCACCCCCCCCCCTCATCTCATCCAGCGCCAGTGGTGATCTGTCAGCATATGTCTTCTCTCTCTCTCTCTCTCTCCTATTTATTTTATCTCTCTCTCTCTCTCTCTCTCTCTCTCTCTCTCTCTCTCTCTCGTACCCTGACTGGACATCCACCATGGGGGAGCTCAAAATTGAGAACAGTGTTACATGTGGCAGCAGTTTTCCATGCAAGAACCCAGTAAGGATGCCTTCTCTTGTATTTATAGCCAACCACAGGGGGCAGAGCCATGAACACCCAGGAACCAGCACCATTAACCCCTTCTTACCTTTTGGGAAGCCTCGTAGCAAAATACACACTAAACATGTTTAACCAGCTCAAGGCCATACTGTAATGAAAATATGAGGTAGGATATAGCCAACTATTTACTATAAGTAGGCACTTGCCTACACGCTTCTTCCCCAAATTGGGATCACCAAAAAAAAATTTGAAGTTTGAGGGGGGGCTTATGGCATACTAGAAGCCCCCTTATAATAAGCAGGGCCCTAGATGTCTGCCCCCTCCCAGGAGAATGAGTACAAGGACACATTATCACCCCTGAATACTTATACCACCCTACCCTTTCCTCCAAAAAAAGCAAAGATGTGAATGTTACAATGCCCCCAATATAGATCTAATGTCAATCTTGTCTGTCATTAACAATGTAAATCCATCATTACTGACAATGACACTCACTGGTTTTGCTGATCCTCTTGCAAACTGAACCCAAGCCCATTGATCCATTCCTAATCATGTCATCCAGCATTGTACACCCATATTCAGTCATAATGACCTGCCACCCAATGATGTTTCCCTGCAGCACTCCTGTCACTAAATGACAGATCCCTGGCACTGTGGGAAAGTAAACAAATCTAGGATGTTTTTACAGTTTTTTTTTTTAACCCAATGTTTAATACATATGATATGCTTTTATATAACTAGAAGTTTGGATTGTACATTTTTTTTTTCATTTAACCTATTTCTGAGGAATATCCTATGACCCTTCACTGTGCATCATAGGTTTCCTCAGACAAGACATTGCTAAGTACCCTTGTGAACAATCCCTATGTTCCTTTCCCTGATTATCATGGTGATGTCTTACAGCTGCTTAATGCAACTTTTCACAGAGATAATATTGCAATGTCCTGTTTATTAAACAGCTTTGAACTTTTCACTGGCAGCAGTAAGACACCACCGATATAAGCAGAGAAAACATGTCTTCCTGAAACAAAGGTTCTCTGGAGGGACATGCTCTCACAGGCAGTGGACAGTAGTATATTTGCTGTCCTTGAACCTGGCACTTACTTGTATGATACAGACCCAAGAGTACTTATGTGATCCTGTAATAGAAATTTATCATAGCAATTTACTCTACTTCTTTTATCCTTCTTTTTCTTCACTTAATGTAGTAGACCAGGACAGTTATCTCAATGCACAGCATGAAGTCTCCTGGGCAACTGCCAATTCCATCAGAAGTGTAAGGCCTCATTCACACAGCTCGAAGCTCCAAAACACTTGAGCAGAAAAATTCAATTATTTTCAATGGAGATGGTTTACATCTCCACTCCAAGTCTCCTGAAGCCAAACACCTTAAGCTCAAGCTTTTTTTATTGCTCAGATTGGGCAGATTTGCTTTTAATTGCATAGAATCGAATGGAAACACGAGATTTGTGTGTTTTTTGCATATTCTACTCAAATGAAAAAATGTTAAAAGAAATAGTAATAATTAATGAATAAATAAATGTAAAACAAAAAATAAATAAAAATAATAACCCCTAAATTTAACCCTCTAACTTTAAAAAATATATATAAAATAAATTATTATTATTAATAATAATAATAAAATAATAATACCCAAACTCAAACACAAAAAAATAATTTAATAATAATTTATTATTAATGTTTATATTATTATTACTAATAATAATAATAATAATATGTATTTATTTTGTGTTAGGATGTTTATTATATATATTATTATTATTATTATTATTATTATTAATAATAAAAAAATTTTAAGGGTTAGGGGTTAAGGTTAGGGATTAACAGTTCATTTATTGTATTTATCATTTAATTATCATTTTTTTCTATTTAATTGTGTATTTATTTTAGTAGTATCAGTAGTAGTAGTATTAACACCCTAACCCTAACAAAATAAATAAGAAGACAATAAATAAAATATTAACCCTTAACCCAAACCTTAACCCAACCTCTAATTGTAACCCTAACCTTAAATTTAACCCCTTACCCTAATAGAAAAAAAAAAAAATAAGCTGATGGGAAAGCTAAAAAAAAAGCTGAAAAACCTAGCAACAAATTCTGCAACAGTTGATATTTTTTCTCTATTGGCTAATGTAAAATCTCCAAAGCTCAAAAATGCCTGAAAAACTCTATATGAAAACACGCAAAAATGTGCAAAAGTCACGCGACAAAAAGCACAGAAAAATGCTAATAGACTCTACACTCAAGTGTGAATCTGGCCTCAAGGGACTTTATTCCCAAAAGCAATATTTTAGTAATGTGTAGTTTGATGGGTTAGGTAAAAGGAGTGGTGGTGACAGGTGTGCAGACCATAGGAACATCAAGTTCCAAAGTTCATTATATAAAAGTCTTCCATCGATGTATATGACCCTTGTTTAAAGGAAATCTATTATAGAATATAGAAATATGAAAACTGCCATTGTTGACTTCTGCCGAACATTGTGCAAACTCTGTCATTCATAGAAACATAGAAAAGTGATGGCAGAAAAAGGACGAGGTCCATCGATCGAGTCTGGCCATTTGTTTTTGTTTTGTTTTGGGGTTTGTTTGGTGGGGGGTTCGGTTGTTTGGGGGTTTTGTTGTTTGTTTTTTTGTTTTTTTTAATTAACTTTTTTGTCTGAGTATAGATCTATGCTTGTCCCATGCATGTTTAAAGCTATTTACTGTTGACTGGCTCACTACTTCTTCTGGAAGTTTATTCCAAGCATCAAATACGCTTTCAGTAAAATAGTACTTTCTGAGATTAGTTTTGAAACTTTCCTCCAGTTAGTGTAAGGTTATTTCCCCGTGTTCTTGATTTTGGCTTCATGTTGAAAATACTGCCCTCCTGAACCTTATAAACCCCCTTGATGTATTTAAAGGTTTCAGTTATATTTATTTATTTCAGGTACTTATATAGCGCCGTCAATTTACTCAGCGCTTTACACATATATATTGTACATTCACATCAGTCCCTAACCCTCAAGGGGCGTACAATCTAAGGTCCCTAACTCACATTCATACATACACATACTAGGGCCAATTTAGGCAGGATCCAATTAACCTACCAGCATGTCTTTGGAGTGTGGGAGGAAACCGGAGTACCCGGAGGATACCCATGCAGGCACAGGGAGAACATGCAAACTCCAGGCAGGTGGTGCCGTGGCTGGGATTCGAACCAACGACCCTAGTACTGCCAGGCAGAAGTGCTAACCATTTAGCCACTGTGCTGCCCATATCATGTGCTGCTGTCATATCTCCCCTTTCCCTTCTTTCCTTCAGACTGTACGTTACGTTCCTGAAGTCGCTCTTCTTACTTACTTCGGATTCTTACTTCGTTGCTTAGTGAGTCAGTAACCTGGAAGTTTAGGCAGAACAGGAGTAGAGACTTCACTGACTGCATGCTTGTTCCTATCTTCATAGATGCACTTTAGCTACTGTATGTTTATATTCCTATTTTTAATTACTGTATATCTTGTTTTTTACCTCCTGCTTAGATTCAGTACACGGGTGCCAGCATGAACCCAGCACGATCACTAGCAACAAGTCTTGTGTTTAACCAGTGGGAAAGCCATTGGGTAAGTGTGAAAGAGTTTGTATGCATTATATACAGGTATACCTAGAGAAAGACAATTATTAGGAGTTGCTTAACTGGATTCATCTCAAAGTCATTAGTTCTCCAAAAACTACTACTGTATAAGAGAAAATACTGCAAGTTCTACTGTTACATTTTTATTGCTGTCTGTTACCTTATCCAAGTTCTCACCTCGATTCCTGTCCCTGTTTCCTGACAGCAGAACAAAAATATGGGGAGCAGATGTCACTGGGACAGGGAGATGAGTAACAGACAGTAACAATAACCTAACAGAGAGCCTATTTCACATCACTCCCTGTCCCTGCAATGGGGACACAGACCACAAATATATACAGGTGAAACTCAAAAAATTAGAATATCGTGCAAAAGTTCATTTATTTCAGTAATGCCACTTAAAAGGTGAAACTAATATATGAGATAGACTCATTACATGCAAAGCAAGATAGTTCAAGCCGTGATTTGTCATAATTGTGATGATTATGGCTTACAGCTCATGAAAAACCCCAAATCCACAATCTCAGAAAATTAGAATATTACATGCAATCAATAAAACAAGGATTGTACATAGAACAATATCGGACCTCTGAAAAGTAGAAGCATGCATATGTACTCAGTACTTGGTTTGGGCCCCTTTTGCAGCAATTACTGCCTCAATGCGGTGTGGCATGGAAGCTATCAGCCTGTGGCACTGCTGAGGTGTTATGGAAGACCAGGATGCTTCAATAGCGGCCTTCAGCTCTTCTGCATTGTTCGGTCTCATGTCTCTCATCTTTCTCTTGGCAATGCTCCATATATTCTCTATGGGGTTCAGGTTAGGGGAGTTTGCTGGCCAATCAAGCACAGTAATCCCACGGTCATTGAACCAGGTTTTGGTGCTTTTGGCAGTGTGGGCAGGTGCCAAGTCCTGCTGGAAAATGAAGTCAGCATCCCCATAAAGCTCGTCTGTGGAAGGAAGCATGAAGTGCTCCAAAATCTCCTGGTAGATGACTGCGTTGACCCTGGACTTAATGAAGCACAGTGGACCAACACCAGCAGATGACATGGCTCCCCAAATCAACACGGACAGTGGAAACTTCACACTGGACTTCAAGCATCTTGCAGTGTGTGCCTCTCCATTCTTCCTCCATACTCTGGGTCCTTGGTTTCCAAATGAGATGCAAAAGTTGCTCTCATCAGAAAACTGAGCAGGTCTGTTTTTCTTTAGCCCAGGTAAGATGCTTCTGATGTCGTTTGTTGTTCAGGAGCGGCTTGACAAGAGGAATACGACATTTGGACCCCATGTCCAGGATCCGTCTGTATGTGGTAGCTCTTGATGCACTGACTCCAGCCTCAGTCCACTCCTTGTGAAAGTCCGCAGCACTTTTGAATGGCCTTTTCCTGACAATCCTCTCCAGGCTGTGGTCATCCCTGCTGCTTGTGCACCTTTTTCTTCCACACTTTTCCCTTCCACATAACTTTCTATTAATGTGCTTTGATACAGCACTTTGGGAACATCCAACTTCTTTTGCAATTACCTTTTGAGGCTTTCCCTCCTTATGGAGGGTGTCAATGATGGTTCTCTGCACAACTGTCAGGTCAGTAGTCTTTCCCATGATTGTGATTCCTAATGAACCAAATGCGATTTCTCCTGCGCTCCGGGACCCAGGCCGGTGGTGAGTAGATGAAATCAAACTCCCAAAAAACAACCACCAGAATAAACAAGGTCGTGCAGCTCCACACCAAGGCTGGGGAAGCCCGAACAGAACTGTGAAGTAAAACAACAAGAAGCGCACCAACCTTGCGCATTACCTCAGTAACCAAAATGTATTTAGCAAAAGAATGGTACTCACAAACAGCGAATAAAAAGAGGCATGTAAGTCCTCCAAGGGACTTTAAAGGCAAGGGGCCAGTGCGAATCCCATCATGGGGGTAGCCACTCAGTACAGCAGACGCGTTTCGAAGGTCATGCCTTCTTCAGAGCTCTTGGTTACTGAGGTAATGCGCAAGGTTGGTGCGCTTCTTGTTGTTTTACTTCACAGTGTGATTCCTACTGAACCAGACTGAGAGACCATTTAAAGGCTCAGGAACCCTTTGCAGGTGTTATGGCTTAATTAGCTAATTAGAGTGGGACACTTTGAGCCTAGAATATTGCACCTCTTCACAATATTCTAATTTTCTGAGTTTTATGGATTTGGGGTTTTCATGAGCTGTAAGCCATAATCATCACAATTATGACAAATCACGGCTTGAACTATCTTGCTTTGCATGTAATGAGTCTATCTCATATATTAGTTTCACCTTTTAAGTTTCATTACTGAAATAAATTAACTTTTGCACAATATTCTAATTTTTAGAGTTTCACCTGTACATGACTCAGGTGCTGTCCCTTCCCTACTCTTTCGAAAAACGGAAAAAAGTTTTAGCTGGACTTTAGGCTAGGTTCACGTGTCTGTGGATGGATAATACACGTGAAATTGCACACGTTCCCAAGCCAAAGAGAAACGCACTGCACTATAGCAGATGCACAGGGGTACCATCAACTCTTAACCACTTGCCAACCGTAGATAGCCGAATGACGGCTACACTGCAGCCGGACAGTTCTGGGAGGATTTCATATGACAGCGGCCTTTTACCACATGATCAGCCATGTCCAATGACACAGCAGATCACCGGTAAATGCAGTTGCCGGTTATCGGCTGCACTTTCCTCACACTGTCCCAGTGTGAGGAAAGTAGTGCCGATAACCGGCAATTGTCAGAGGAGGGATCAGAACCGATCATCAGGGCATGGGCAGCACAGTGGCTAAATGGTTAGCAGTTCCGCCTGACAGTACTAGGGTTGTTGGTTCAAATCCCAGCCACAGCACCTCCTTCCTGGAGTTTGCATGTTCTCCCTGTACCTGCGTGGGTTTCCTCCGGATACTCCAGTTTCCTCCCACACTCCAAAGACATGCTGGTAGGTTAATTGGATCCTTTCTAAATTGTCCATAGTATGTGTATGTATTAGTGTGAGTTAGGGACTGTAGATTGTGTGCCCCTTGAGGGTTAGGACTGATGTGAATGTACAATATATATGTAAAGCGCTGCGCAAATTGACGGCGCTATATAAGTATCTGTAATAAATAATAATAATCAGGGCAATGATGATCAGTGCCCAGCAGTGCCACCCACATGTGCCCAGCAGTGCTGCCCAGCAGTGCCCATCATTGTTGTATATCAGTGCCCATCATTGTTGCATATCAGTGCCGCCTATCAGTACCACCTCATCAGTGCAGCCTCATCAACGCACATCAGTGAAGGAGAAAAATTACCTGTTTGCAAAATTTTATAATGGAAACAAAGAAAAACTTTTTTTCTTCAAAATGTTTGCTCTTTTTTTATTTTATAGCGCAAAAAATAAAACACCCAGCGGTGAGAACATACCACCAAAAGAAAGCTCTATTTGTGTGAAAAAAATGATAAAAATTTCATATGGTTACAGTGTTGCATGACCGCGCAATTGTCATTCAAAGTGCGACAGCGCTGAAAGCTGAAAATTTGCCTCGGCAGGAAGGGAGTATAAGTGCCTGATAGGCAAGTGGTTAATGGCACCCCTCATGCTTTGGTAACCACAATACGTTTCCGGTGCAACATAATTCTAAAAAATGGGTCAGGGGCCTCTTTCCTGGTGTTTCTAAGGGTATAATAAAAATATATTGAGTGTTGCGCTCTCAAACCTTCAATCAATACATGATTATTTAAATCATTTAATTATAAAAATTACAATAATTAAGAATGATGTGTGTGAATAAACATAAATTGTAATAATCTTATACTCTGAATCTTCTGAATCAACTCAGATAAACCATGTGCATGGAACAGTGATGAACAAACAAATATAAAATAATAAAAAAAATAAAAAAATGTCCCAAAAAGTGACTTTGTGCTGAAAAATCTTCAATAATTATAAATCGGTGACTGCTTGTGAATCCTCCCTCAAGTGAAGATATGCGCTCACCTCATAGGAAGCCTGCAATTAGGCTATATAAGCTTGCGGTTCACCTCCTTTGGAACCTGCTTGTTTGGAACTCCTGTTATAAGATATCCATGGTATACGGCATATGCTATGGAATGAATCTCCTCTCCAGAGGGTGCTATTCCTCTATGTTTTCATCTCCATGCGGTTCTCCACATACAAAAAAGATCTCGACATGGTGCTTTATCGTTTTAAAAGATTGACTTTTATTTACTTTAGGGTATGGCACTCACATGTGTGCGGATAGTGGTAGTACAAATACAATCCCAGACTGCCGCTGACTGCCGGAGCTGTGTACTCGTGGTCCGGCGAACGGACTGACTCCCTCCGAGTGACGTTAACAGTCCCACCCCTACGCGTTACGCCACTGGTCACGTGGCTTCATCAGGGGGATTTGAATCAAATCCCCCTGATGAAGCCACGTGACCAGTGGCGTAACGCGTAGGGGTGGGACTGTTAACGTCACTCGGAGGGAGTCAGTCCGTTCGCCGGACCACGAGTACACAGCTCCGGCAGTCAGCGGCAGTCTGGGATCGTATTTGTACTACCACTATCCGCACACATGTGAGTGCCATACCCTAAAGTAAATAAAAGTCAATCTTTTAAAACGATAAAGCACCATGTCGAGATCTTTTTTGTATGTGGAGAACCGCATGGAGATGAAAACATAGAGGAATAGCACCCTCTGGAGAGGAGATTCATTCCATAGCATATGCCGTATACCATGGATATCTTATAACAGGAGTTCCAAACAAGCAGGTTCCAAAGGAGGTGAACCGCAAGCTTATATAGCCTAATTGCAGGCTTCCTATGAGGTGAGCGCATATCTTCACTTGAGGGAGGATTCACAAGCAGTCACCGATTTATAATTATTGAAGATTTTTCAGCACAAAGTCACTTTTTGGGACATTTTTTATTTTTATTTTATTTTATATTTGTTTGTTCATCACTGTTCCATGCACATGGTTTATCTGAGTTGATTCAGAAGATTCAGAGTATAAGATTATTACAATTTATGTTTATTCACACACATCATTCTTAATTATTGTAATTTTTATAATTAAATGATTTAAATCATGTATTGATTGAAGGTTTGAGAGCGCAACACTCAATATATTTTTATTTTGCATTTTATCACATTGGTAGTTATGTGCTAGAGGTTTGCGATCCAACATTAGAGAGTATAAATTAATGAATTTTTGTCTGCCTTCTGGCTCGCAAGACTTTTCAAATATTCGAGTTTCTAAGGGTATGGCAGCCTATTGAAATGAATGGACTGCCTACATGCAGAATGCAATAATGTGAACCTAGCCTAGTTTCATCCAAATATTGCTTTATAGCAGGGGTGTCCAACCTTTTGTCTTCCCTGGGCACATTGGAGGAAGATGACTTGTCTTGGTCCGCACATAAAATACACTAATAATGAGAATAGCTGATGAGCAGGAAAGGTCTGGCAGATCTCAAGTTAATGATCACTGATGTAGATAATGCACCTATCTGAGTAATAATACCTCATCTTCTGGTAATATTTTTTAGTATAAAAGACAAAGAGGGCAATATTTGACACTGGTTTTGATAAACTAACACGTCAATATTTGGTTTGATGGATGTAGTAGTAATTCAAGTTGCTCATCAGATATTTTGTTTCTAATGTTGGGTGCTTCACCCTTGAAAATAGTTGCTCACAAATATGAGTGATGCTGAGAACTGATGCCATGAGTAAGGCATGACTGTGAAGAGTGGGAAGATCAAACTTAGAAAAGTCCACTGTCAAATTTTTCTTCAGCCGCATGTGTTTGCTAAGTGTAAATGCATTTTTATAGAAATATTCCCAAATAAAGTTTATGATTTTACATTGAGCCGCATACATACATCTTGGGCCGCATACATAACCATCTTGGGCCGCATACATAGCCATCTTGGGCCGCATACATAGCCATCTTGGGCCGTATACATAGCCATCTTGGGCCGCATACATAGCCATCTTGGGCCGCATACATAGCCATCTTGGGCCGCATACATAGCCATCTTGGGCCGCATACATAGCCATCTTGGGCCGCATACAGAGCCATCTTGGTCCTCATACATAGCCATCTTTGGCCACAGGTTGGACACCCCTGTTTTATCTCAATCTGCTCTCATTCCCTTTCTTTTCTCTTCTTCCCCCCTTCACTTCTCTTCTTTACTGATTCTCCTTTCCTCCCCACACCACCTCTCCTTTATTTTCTCTTTCTCCTCTTCACCTCATTTCTCAATTAACCACTTCAAGTCCAAACACTTTCACCCCCTTCCTGTCCACGGCAATTTTCAGCTTTCAGTGCTATCACAATTTCAATGGCAATTGCTTGGTCATGCAACACTGTACCCATATGAATTTGTTAGCATTTTTTTGAGACAGATAAAACTTTCTTTTGGTGGTATTTATTCACCAGTGGGATTTTTATTTTTGTGCTATATAAATGAAAAAGTCCAAACATTTTGAAAAAAAAAAGTGTTTTTCTTATACAATTTTGCAAATAAATAATCTTTCTTCATAAATCCTGGCCAAAATGTATTCAGCTATCTTTTTAGTAAAAAAACAAAATAACCCAAATTAGTTTATAACCAAAAATTATAATTTTTCAAAACATTTTTTACATTTTTATTTTTTTATATTATTATTTTTGGGGTTTTTTTTAACACACTGTCACCCTAGCAGTACAGTGTCACCATAGTGACACTGCACTACTTGTGGGGGGTGATGAAGATTTTTTTTTTTTTTTTTTACACTGATTACTTTTACACCCATGAAGTCTGTAAAAGCAATCATTTCTCCTTCTCTCTAGCTGCATTCTTGCAGCCATTGAGAAATACTGTGAGAGCTGTGATTAGTCACAGCTTGTCACATGGTACAAGGCTGTTGTGAATAGCCTTGTACCATGTGACATCTGTGATCAACAAGTGACCTATTGCTTACTACTATTCATGTGATCACTGTTTGGCTAATCAGTGATCACATGATCAAGACCTCACACAGAGGTCCTGTACAGCAATCGGTGTTCCTGCACAGGCAGGGAATGCGGAGGCCGTTTATAAAGGGCCACCGGCGCCTGCACTGCTCCCTTCTGGCCGTTTATGTACATGGGCCGGACGGAAAGTTGTTGATCCACTCTCCTCTCCTCCCCACCCCTCCCTTCTCCGCTCTCCTCTCCTAGTCTCCCCTCCCTACTTCTTTTATCTTCCCCCTTCACTGCTCCACTCATTTCTCCTCCCCTCTCCTCCTCTCTTTTTTCTGTCCTCTTCTTCTCCTCTCTCGTCTTCCCTCTCATTTCTCCCCATGCTCTACCCTACCTCTTTTCACTTTACCTCCACTAAAGGAAAATTTCCAAAATGAAACATTTTATACAGTATGTTGCACATCTTCTTTTTCTTCACCTCTCTGCAGATTTATTGGATTGGTCCAGTGATGGGTGGTGTCCTTGCTGCTTTTATCTATCAATATTTATTCTGCCCCGATCCTGAGATTAAATTTCGAGCTAGCTTTAAGAGACCTCGAAATGAAGATGAATCTGTTCAGTTGACAGTGGTGCCTGGAGGAGAATATAACAAGCTGACATCCAGTGACACATGAGGCTTTGTTATCCATCAAGCTGCCATATTTTGGAAAAATAAACTTTTGGACTTTGGAGCTCCAGTTCCTGTTGAAATACAGATGGCCAACATTAACTGAGGACTAACTAAAAAGCTGCTTATTACTACCGAAATAAGGTCTTATGTTTTTGTCAATTGCAAAAGGGCCAGTCAACATATTGTAAATGTCAGGTTGGTTTATATAAACAGATCTTAAAGTGTATGTACAGCCAAAACTTTGGATAGAGCAGAGAATGGGTAAAACCTTGTCAAGTTATGTTTTGTTCAGTGTGCCTGTTTGGAGAGATTTCCCTTCACTTCCTGTCTATTAGAAGCAAGTAGTATAACATTTCTATATAGGGGTAATCTCCTCCCAGACAGCTCTCACTTCAACAGATTACCCATTGAAAGATTTACCCTCATCTATGGTGACAACTGTAAAATGTTGGGTTTTCCATCATGTTGTCTTTCTGGTAGTAGTCACCAGAACAAAAGAATCCCCATAAAGGACACAGAAAGCAGTATAAAGTTGACAAAGGTTCTAATCATTCCTAGTCTATCCAAAAAAATGGTAAATGAGTAATACAGTTAAAAAAGGTTTCCTTGCATATATTTCAGATATAAATGCAGTACGTACATACATTGATCTGTATTTTGTTTTACTGGTCCTTTTAATAGGTTTTTTTTTTTCTGTAAGTCTTGACATTTTTTATTAATATGTTATTAATATATGTATAGTGTTTCTGTATGTAATGTTTATATCAAACTATGGATCAACTCTATTAAATGCACTGCTTTTAAAGCTAAACTCCAAGCTAAACAAATATTATCTATGTACAAGAGGCATTTGTATTCTTCCTTGAATCTTGGCGTTCTTTGTGTATTTCTTTCCAGATCTGTGTGGTATCCCACTGAAACTTTGCCTCTCTACAGGAGCTTCCTGTAATAAAGACCGGTCATTGCTACTCTCTCTACTTGTGCAGGGTGACTGGTCTTGTCTGTAATTTTCTGTAGGCTGCCTGAAGTAGGTGGGTCTCCTGAGTCCCTCCCACAATGCTTCTCTCTGCACAGGCTATGTACACTACAGTGATGACATCACCACTATTTTAACATGGGGTCACATGGGGCTTTGCAAGTGCATTTTTAGTACATACAAAGTGGTTTTATATACTTTATTGGCTATTGAGGAATACGTTTAAATTAAAAAAATTGTGCCAACAGTTCAGCTTCAAAGTGGTTATAACCCTCTTGCCTGAAAAATGAACAAAGGGTGTTCATTAGAGCGTATTTGTTTCAATCCAAAACACTGTGTGTGATTTGTGTCTGCTGCCTGCTCTGCTATCTGCATAATTGCTGACAGCTAATGCCAACCCCAAGAGATGAAGGGGGACAAGGGAGGGGAGCTCCAGCACACAGCCTGGGAATGACAGCCTCCAATGTACATCTTTCTCTATGGGTTTTTGTAGAGGGAGTTGTATTCTTCCACTCAGGTCTCAGGTTACAGTCAGCTTCCTGACCTATGTTGCAGTGTGTGATGTCAGATTCCCCCCACCCTCGCTTTTCTGGAGCTCTGAAATGCTGTGTAAACTGTGTGTTTTAGGACACTGTAGAAGAGAGAGGGCTGCAGATAAACAGGCACAAGATGATTTGTTTCATCTCTGTGTATCAGCTGAGACTAGTCCTCTTCACTTGGTACATGTAAAGGTTTACAACCACTTTAAGGTGATTTAAAGGATTTTTTTTTAAATACCGAACATTTCTTTACTTACCTGCTCTGTGCAATGGCATTGCACAGAGTGGCCCCGAACCTTCCCTTCTTGGGTCCCCTGACGGTGCTCCTGGCTCCTCCTGTCTGTCCAGTATCCTTATAGGAAGCCACTTCCCATAGGGGCTCTTGTGCATGCTCACTCCTGAGCCCTGCTGCTCCATCCACTGACAGACAGTGAGACTTAGCCCCGCCCCCTGCTCCCTCATCACTGACTTCGATTGACAGCAGCGGGAGCCAATGGTTCCCAGTGCCCCATCAAAGCCAGTGAGACACAGAAGTGATAGGAGAGAAGGGCTGCAAATATGCACAGCGCTGGATCGAATGAGGGCTCAGGTAAGTAAAGGGGAGAAGGGGTGAGTGGCCAAAACTGATGCCTAAACATTTTTTACCTTAATGCAAGAAATGCATTAATGTAAAAAAAATGTTTAGGCTTTAGAAGCACTTTAAGCCTTCGAGAGGATCAGTCACATTCCTTTGTTTAAGCCCTATACACAGCAGTGTGATGTGGAATTAGGTGCAGCTCCAAGCTGGTTATGCTCCTCTTTACTTATGAACGATGGATTGGTACATTTTCAATACATACTGTCCATGATAGGCTGGAGCAAATGGCATCATAGTAAAGCTGTTGCGATTAAAATGTCTTTTTTTCTCCTATTTTAAAAAAGTGGTGTGGACAAGTTACCGAAAAGGGTTTCATGCTGAAAATATTACTTATTAGGATCAGTCCACTCAAAAAATCTAGACCCGAAGCAGAAAAATGGCCAGAGGGGCTGCATAACTAGGAGAAGGAATGGTTCAGGAAAGGGCTATGATTTAATCATGATGTGGCAATGGAGAACTGTGAGATCTTACCTAATTGGTAGTCGAGGATCAGATGGATAGGGAGAGCTGCAGAGATAGAAACTATGGTGTCGGCATTCCAGAGAGTTTAGCTGGAGAGAGTAGTTGTCCCAGCCTGCCTCTTCTTATAGGGTGTGGGTGGTGGTATAATTCTCACAGCAGCATTGAAAGTTATGAGGTCTTTGAGAATCAGTGGAAAAGTTGAGATTGTTACAAAATGTGGGGACCCTTCTGGTAATATTCCTTCCCCTTTGCCAGTTATTAGTGGTTCTATCAGGGGCTTGTATCTCCAGAGTCAGGGGCGGACTGACAATTTGCAAACTCGGGCACTGCCCGAGGGCCCAGGGTCAGTAGGGGGCCCCATGAGATGCCCCTGGTACCTTTTTTCATGGCTTTTTTGAGTTTGGGCAAGGTCACAGGGGCCCCTTGATCCCCTATTGCCCTGGGGCCCCTTGAGTTGTCAGTCCGCCCCTGTCCAGAGTAAGCAAAAATATTAACCATTTGAAACTACAGTATCCATGAATCAAAGACAGGGTAGATTTTAGGTTTTGGTGAGCACTCAAAGAAGACTCCCTCCTGGCAGCATTTGTCAAAAGATGTTATGCTGCTGTGGCTGACGAAATCTGTATCCAAAGAACATTCAGGACTTGGTGTCCTGGTACATTGTGTTAGCACATGTGTCAATGAACATTTTTGCATACATTAAGACAGCCCATTCAAATGTATAGGCTGGCAATGCACCAAGTCATTTTAAAAAAGGACAGGTACCATTTTTGGCAATGCAATGCACCATATGCAACATACGACAATGTGTCACCATGTGTTGTAGTGCGCTTCAACATATGTATGCTTGTTGGAGCTGCATTGCCCTAATGCATTGGAATGGCATTCAAAAGGACACTAGTATAGTGCGCTGCCTCACCAAAAAGGTGCAAACGGCGTCTCGGTCATGGGTTTTTCAGTTACAGGTGAAAAACACACCAGAGAGATTAAGAGTCCCTTTTAACAACGGCTATAGAAGATGGGTGGAGTTGCCCATCTGAAAAAAAATAACTTTATTGGGTGATTCAATCTTCTTGTTTGTAGCTAAACCAAATCATGTCTTTTATGTACCAAGGGTTTACTGCAGAGCCGGATTAAGGCCCAATGGGTCTCTAGGCAGGGTAGCAGCTCTGAATGAGATGTAGTGGTTTTATACTCAACTTTAAATATCTACAGAACAGTCGTTTGTTATGTAAATTTCTAAACTTGCTTTGATTTTGATTAATATGCATCCTTGTAGAGATACATAAACCATCTAGATTAGAATTTATTGGTTAACACTGCTATGGATATGTGTTCATGAATCAAAAAGGCCAAAAAGTGCAGTGCCAAGGGTCAGAGAAGGATGAGTATAAGACTGGCAAGGGGGCTAAGAGATTAAATAAAAAGGTGTACATCCACTATTGGTGCAGTTACACTTTAGAACTGGAAAGACAAACACTTAAAGTGTTTCTAAACTCACTACAGTAAAATCAGTCTGTATATGCAGTAAAGCATGCTTGTTATACTCACTGTGGACCCTAAGAGGTTAATCCTCTGCATTGTGTAAAATGCTGTTTGATCCTGACTTCTCTGATACTCCCCTTCTTCCAGTTCCCCCCTCTTATCTCTTGAAAAGACATATCATGTGGAGACACTCTGCACATGCTCAGTTTGGTGTGTGTATTGCTGGAGGTTTTTTTTTTTTCTGGGAGAGTGCATGTGATGAGCACAGGGCCAATCAGCACTGTCCAGACAGAGGTCAGGGGTTCTGCATCCTCCTAGAGCAAAAAGGAAAACTCCTCCTACAAGTTTTAACCAGTGCTTTGCTTGACACTGATAAAAGTGACAAGACTGCTCTAACTGCTGATGAGAAAAGGTATTTAGCAGTTTATATTTACGAAAAATAATTGCATTTCCATGTAGTGTGTACTGTGGGAGACCGGATTGAGTGAATTCCGGGTCCTGGGTTTAGCAACACTTTAATAGCTTTGTAACTATTGCTTTCTCTCCCATAATCCTGTCAAATCTAGGTGATGACTTAATTTTAATCATATTCAATTCAATCAATAATTTTAATCATATTCAATTCAATCGATTCAAGCCCATACACATCCATCCTAGTTTATCATTATACATGGTGTAGGAAAGAGAATTAGATCATTCAGATTGTAAAAACTAACAGGGTAGTCTGGGCATTAACACTGAACAAACATGTCTGTTAATGTTTCCTTTATAACCAAGTTCAAACATGAGACCAAACTGAGTACCACAATAACAAGGACAATATGGTATCCAATGCTTCAGTATCCCATAGCAGCCCATCAATAATAGATATTTTACTGATATATGACCACAGTAATCTGTTCTCA